TTTATGAGAAGGAAACGGTTTTAAAATTAAGACAAGTTTACTCCTGATGCTTACAGCACTCCAGAAAGCATTCTAATGCAGATATTCCCTATAGAAATGTTTTATGAAGCAAACATCTTCCAGAGAAATGGACCCCTCCTGCTGTTGTGATTACCAGAAGATATGTTGGTTTGCATAGATGTGTGTGTATGGATACATTAAGCAGTGATGATTTCTGTTTTTTCAGGAATAGATATTATATCTCTTGGAAAATTACATTACTGTGTGAATGTCATTGTTGAGTTTATTATTTGAACCTCTGTACCACTGCTTCACAATGAGGTGCTCATCATCCTTGCTGCTGTGCAGAAGGCACTGCAGGTGTCCCAGCACCCGGGGTTACTGGATATCAAGCATTGCCTCCCACCTGCTGAGGTTTAAAACGCATTATTTAGTTCACTGTACAATTGCAGGAATCCTTTCCTGAAGCATAAGAAGCAGGTAAGTAGTTCTAACTTCAGGTGCTGTGAGCAGGTCCTAAATGGAGGCTGTGTATCTTCCTACACCTACCAAAAAAACCTCAAAACCACAGCAGAGTTAGGAGGCAGGAACCCAGTGTGTATTTTAGGCTTCATACTAAAATAAAACTGGGTTGTCATCGCAGGGATAACTCTCACTTTGTTTCTGTGCTAGCTTCACTGGAAATTAAGAAGACACTTGAGGTATTAAATACCAAGGTGTGTGACCAGGCTCCTCTGGAAGGCGTTCTCCTTGGCTTTCCTTTTTTGCCATCATGGGTGTGTGAGTAGTAGGACAGTTTTTCCAGTCTTAGGAAAAGACTGGAAAGTCTTTTGAAAAGAGGTTGAGGTGGAGAAGTGGCACAGCCTTTTTTTGTTACAGTACTGGGTTTCATGGTGCATCGATCTCCTCGTTGTGCCCAACACACCACTGCTGACAGGCTATCTTGGTGTCCTCTCTTCTGTCACCTTGGTGGTGGACATTGAAGGCTGTGTGCTCTTACAGGTGCTGCTTGGTTTTGAGGGTTTTTTTTCCCCCTTGATTAAAGGTATAATTTACACTGTATCACATAAACCAGAGGAAATAGTGCAAACTGCACTACTGCTGATGCTGGGTCCAAGGAGATGCCGATAGAGCCCATTAGTAAGTTACTGGAATTGTTCTGACAGCTGTGGTTACTGATAATGACTTACAGTAAGGCCTGCCCTCTCCGTTCATTTAACTTTGTTCCTATGGGTAATAGGGAGCAATTACACAGGAGGGTCAATCTATCCAGGAACTTTCCCAACCGTGGACAGAGAGCCTCTAGAAACTTCGTGATGTGGCTCTTGGTGCCATCCTGGCTTTGGTTTTATGCTTACTAATAGGCAACCAGCTGCTGCACTTCATTTAGATGATAGGAGCTGTTTTCATTTTAAGTTTTTAACTGCGTTCTTTGGGTAAACTGGATAGTGCAGATTATTGAGAAGCCTCTTATTTCCTTATAGATCTGCTTTAAAGGAAGGAGTATTGCTGTTACTCACCCTCCTGGGACTCTCAGACATCAGGCACTCACAGTAGTCCTTCTGTGTGCCAAAGAGCTTTCTTGGCTAACTCCTCTTTTTGCAGAAACATTTATTTTACTCTGCTGATAGTTCTCAGACAAATACATGGAGTGCAGGGGAGGTGTGGGCTGTGCCCTTTAGAGATCCCGGACAAACAGCGTGCTCTGGCTTCTGAATGGAGCTCCACCCCAAAGCCATGGCATCCCTTGCATCATTTTCTAAACAGCCTTAGAGAAAAATCTTTTTATTATTTGCAGTCCTGATGCAGGCAGAATTACAGATGTCAGATAGCTGCAGAGCTTGTTAGCTTAGCTTAGGTCAGATCCGAAAGGCTCTTCTCGCTGTAACCAACGCGCTGTTGAGGTATTTACTTAATGATGTCGTTAGGAGTCTGATGTTAATGAGTTCTTTATCACAGGACTGCAGGTTGGTTGTTGTGCTGTCTCTAACCTCTTACGTGCTGTTTGCACGTGTACAAGGTGGATGTGAAGCATCTGGAAGGAAACCCACCACCATTACATTGGTGCCTCCTGCCTGGAGCAGTGGTTTCTGTTCATTTAGACTAACAAACTGCTTGCATTGACTTAAGAGCAGCATGATGATGTGCTGTCATGATTTTTCTTCTCCTTTCCAATGTTGCAGCTCTTCCTCTTTCTTTTTGAACATGATTGCTGAGTGTCACACAGTGATCCACAGAAATAAGATTGCTTACATACGTAGAGCTTGAAGGCACAGTGACATTTACACTGTTAACAGTTTGTTCCTTCGGGGCAAATCTATACATGAACATAATGCTCGTACTTGTGCTGGTATTTGTTGTGTTGTTGTAGGCTGTTATTTCATTTTGGCTACTGCAAGTGGAAGTGTGAAAGCCTTGCATCTCCTGAGCACCCGGCTTGGTGCTGCTGTTAACGAACCAAGGGAGCCCACTGGTTGTGTGGGTGTTGGAACCTTTCTGCTTTTGGAATGTTTGTCCCTAGCAATGCCCATTCACCCAAGTCTTTGTTTTTGGCTCTTCTCTCACTGGCAATTTAAGATGAGTATTAGTAGCCAAATGGACTCTTTTTGCTCTCTGCTGTGTATTCATAGCAGGTGCTACTTCTGCTCTTCGCTACCAACACAGGAGTCAGTTTTTTGTTGTTTGCACAGACCTCTGCTGTATGTTTTCATAGAATCATAGAATGGCTTGGGTTGGAAGGGTCCTTTGAATCATCTAGTTCCAATCCCCCTGCAATAGGCAGGAATTCCTCCCTAAAGCCCAGGTTGCTCAGCAGCCTGGCCTTGAGTGCTTCTCTTTTTCTCTCCTCAGGTCTCATATCCCCTCAGTGTGTTTGAGACCATGCTCTTGTGTTGGCCCCAGTCAGAGAGGCTTCTGCAGCAGTTTTTATCTTCCCTAGCATCCTTGTCTGTACTAGCTATGCACCTCCAGCACAATTCTTTCTTTCTTTGGCGTTGAAGTGAATCAAGCTTGGTACGAGTCTGGTAAAATCTGGAATATCTAATTATTATCACAGGGAAGACTAAATTCCACTTCACCTTTTTCTAGTTAAGTTTTTACAGAGCTTAATAATATTTAGAACTTCTTCAATGCTTTGGAATCTTGATGGCACTGAAGCATTGCTGTTTTTTGGGGAGTTCTCATGGTGTTTCATTTGTGAGATAGGAACAGCTATGATGGTAATATCTGTGTAAGTATGATTTGCTTCATCATAACCTGCAGAGTTGTATTAGAGTATCAAGTATGCTCTGCAACATTTGCATTCCTTAAAGCTCCACGTTGCCTGGTGATTCAGGACTGTGAAAATAGAAAAGATTTGGTGCGAGCAGCTTGGGGGAGCGAAGGCTATTGCTGAATCTTACAGTCAGAGCAAAGTAAAATTGGTGCTTCTATAAAGAAAGAAAAAAGAAAAGAGAAGGAAAAATAATTTTAAAAGCTAGGTGTAATGGGCACACAGCTCTTCTATCCCAGAAGCCTATTTTACTTAAGTTAACCCAGAGGAAAAATCACCTGTCCACGTATTTAAATGATGAACTGCGTGCCCAGTCTTTTCTGAAGATAACAGTTGCACAGAGGCCTGATTATTTCATGACTGCTGCTGCTGGATCTGTGCCCCTTATTGCGGTAGGTGATGACCTCAGCATCTTTTAGCATTCCTTTGCATAGTATTTTTAAATGACTTGGTCGAAGTGCCATCTGTCTCGACAGGTGAAAGTGCCCAGCTTACTGAAACATATGGCAGGGCAGATTAATGTTGCCCAGAGAGATCTCTTGCTTGGATGCTCGTAAGGCAATGTCCACTGGAATTGTTGTCTTTGCTTGGAAAGCAGAAGAATAAAATGGAGATTTTCCGAGGAGCTCCATAATGTTTTGGATGTGTGAGATGCACAGGGTTACCTTTTTCAGTGTTTTGCCTTTTGATTCTGTCAAGTAGTTAAAATTTGACCTGATAATTGTGAGATCGGTGTGAAACAGAATATTGATAGTCAGACATCTGTAAGCATCCCCTCCACTCACCCTCCCTCGGTCAGGCTTTGGTTCTCTGCTCCCCACTGTGCTTTTGGGCTTCCTTAAACCTGGCTGTTATTTTTTGTAACTGTGAGGTTGTGCAGTGCTGGAGGTGCTCTCAGAGCCTTCAGAAGAGGCAATAGGAATGACATGCTGGAAGATGTGTTCAGCAAACCCGTGTGTTTTGCAGCTGTTTATTTAATGAGAATGTATGAGTTAGCTCAGTCTGCCCTTCCTGCACATCAGTCGTTCAGAACACAATTCACATGCAGCTCATCCTTTTCAATAGTCAGGAGGACTGCCTTGTAAGTTGAGAACCATTCATCTTGTGACTTCCAGCACCAATTAAATGCTTTGGGTTGTCGTTTGAGTTCTCTGTGCCTCTGATAATAAATACCCCACAGTGGGTGAAAACAGCTTTACTTCATTAAACCAATCAACTCACAGCTGATCTGGCTCTTTGGAGCATGGCTTTGGGAGCAGAATGAAGTGTTCCAGTTCCAATGTTCTCAGAGTTTGACCCCAGTTGGGTCCTCAACTCCAGCTTGGGCAAAATATCTGTAGCGCTCTGTGTGCTGCCTCCGTGTTTCAAGGGCCAGAAGTAGCAGCTCTGGTGGAATCTCCATCCCTGGAGGTGTTCAGGAGCCATGGAGACGTGCTGGGATCATGGCAGTGAGCATGGTGGGGTTTTGGGTTGGATGTGGGGTCTCAGAGGTCCTACCTTGCTTATAGTTGGTGGGTGCTGCTCTAGGGGACGCTCTGTGTCTCTTCTCCAGAACTCTCACTGTATGTGTGCCAGATCTGTGTTGTAGTGAGCAGCAACTGTGCTCTGAAACAAGGCTTACTGGGGTACATTTGTGAAGGATTGTGCCGTGGAAATCACTGGTGTAACGATCAGCAGTACTGAGTGCTTGTTCCTTTTTTTAACTTTGTTTTTTCTTCTTGGCTTTCAGCTCAGATCGGCTGATAGAAGAAACAATAAGGTAGGGATGAATTTACTAATTCTCATTATTTTCTGTACAATCAGTATTTGCACTGCACTGTGCCCAGAAGTCTCAGTCACTTTCTTTATACAATAACTGTATTGTTCATAACTTGTATTACAGTGAAGTGGGGTTTTATTTTTACTATTCAACATTGACATAATGGTGTTACCGGAATATTTTATTCAGCCTAATTTGGGAAATTTGGGTTTCTGTTCAGAGATGAATACCCTCTATGGCAACAACGAGGATGGCTGAGCAAAGGGAATCTCAGGTTGAGTTGTTGAGGGCCATTCCAGTAGTGGGGCTGTTTTTTCTCAGGGTTACTCTCCTGCAGCATGATTTTCTGTAGTCCTTGGACGTGTTCATCATCCCAGTATGCAGCTGATATTGGTAGGCCCTTGGACCTTATGGGCTGGAGTGACTGCTGCTGCTGCATAGTTACTTATTCCTTGGTTTTCGTGTGGTTTGAATACTTAAGTGCTGCCTTTCTTACTGATCTAGAAATCTTAGAATCGTAGCATTACAAATTATTTTTATCATCTGTGCCCTTCCCAATCTTTCATTGAACTCTGAGATTTTGAAAACCAATAATTCAGAGTGCCTGACTTAATGGTTTGAAGTCTCAGATTATTGCCTTAAAAAAAAAAAAAAAAAAAAAGGAAGAAAGCAAGATATGGTTTCAGATAATGCATGTACTGGCATAAGTGATGAAGAGGAGTAATTAGAGGCTCTGTGTCCATTAAAGGCTGGCTAGCTTAAGTACATTCAGTGGGCTCAGTATAATTAACATGGTGGAAGAATGTGTTAAACCACCACGTTAATGTGCTGTGACAAACCAGAAGTGGTCACTACTGTAATGTCTGAGAACGTGGATGAAGTCTCTCCTCAGGCTCATGAAGATATTGCCAGTCTGAGCACGGATGTTGTGAGTCTTCTCCTTACTTTGGTTCTCATCTTCTCCTGATTAAACATCCTCTCCTTTATTGCCATATTTGTAGCCCTACTTTTCCACCTCATAAGCGCACTCGGTGTTTGTCAGATCTCTTCCTTGCTCTCCTTGCTCAAACATTCTCATCACTAAAGCATTATAAAGCCAGTGATGACTTATTAAGCTTGATATCCTGCAAAATGACTCGTATTATTTGAGCTCTTCCCCTGGCCTCCTGATTACGCGTCACTGAGGAGCATGAGAGTACAAGATAAGTGAAGTCCTGAGTGGATTGCCTTGCAAGCTGGGGCTCAAACAGGGCACCTACCTGTGTGTAGCCTGGGTTCCTTGACGAGCTGTGAGCCAGCCCAGTGGTGTCCCAGCCACAGCATCATCAGGAGGTGACCTGCCTGCTGTGAAATGGCTTGGAGTTCCATTTGGGTGAGCTGCAGACCTGCGGTTGACTGTGGATCAACCAGGGATGGCTTCTCATGCCATAGACCCAACTGCCTGGCTCAGCTCAGAGCTCCTTGCTGCTGGGTGCAGAAAGCTTTCCTTCTGCCAGCAGGTGAGCTATGATTTTAGGAGGCTGGATCTCAGCTCCTTGTTGCACCATTTGTTACCTGTAGTAAACAGACTTCTTGTAGCCATTGCCAAAAATGTTCTACGTTTCTTTTTGTAGAGAAAGAGTTGGGTAACAACACGCATCACACACTGCTGTTAATTTAGATCCCCTTGATTCAGTTCTGTCTCTGATGAAGCCAGGGTGATTTTTTTGTCACCCCCAGTAGCTGGAGGTGTCCAGGTGTGAAATTCCTGCTCTGACTTGCAGTGCACTGAAGAGGGGCATTGTGTGTGGTTCTTCTATGGAGCAAGCAGACCTGCAAGAGGATGCATAGGTGCTGCAGCTGTCATTCCAGATGTTGTGTTAGCATGAACCTTATAATGAGATTTTTAAATGAATTATGTGACATGGCTGTTAACTGCAGCATATTTCTTTCCAGAAAGGAGTGGGAAGTGATAGTTTGTACTGCAGTTCCTTTGGAACTGTGTTCACTTGTCTTGGGTATATTTAAATATAAGCATAGATTCTGCTTAATATGTTTGGTGTTCTCAGGTTTTCATTTTCAAACATTATCGCTTTCTCAGAATAGCAAATGATTTATTTCTTGTTTTCCAACAGCTTATATTTTTAGGTTGGTTCACTTTGACAATTTGCTACAGTTTGGCATGCACAGTGTGACCAGCTGCTAGGAATTCATTGTAATATTCCTTCTGGTGCCTGATTCAGGCTCACTTGTCAGGCTTTGTCTATTGGCAGGATGGACTCGAGCATTTTTGCTTTGACCAAACCCATAGATTGAATAACTAAGTAGAAAATGTGTGTATATACAGGGGGCATTCCTCTGGGTAACAATTAGGATTTAATAAAAGGGGAAAATCATGTAGTGTTAAGTCCTGGCTTGACAGGATGGGGAGGTAGGAGTTGGATTTTGAGTCGCAGCTCTGCTCAGGGGAGCCTGCAGGATCTGGTGCAGTCACACTCATTTCTGGGGGAACATTTCCTAGGTTTTCATCTGAGCCTTCAGCAGAAGACACGATGATGTGTAGTGAAGTTGGAAAGGCTGTGTGTGTATGGATATGCCTGTATGTGTGTGTGTATGTGTACACAAAGAACAAGCAATGTAGTCATAATTGTTATCGATTTAGCAGCAGAGCTTGCATTTCTATGCACAGTCACTGAGTCCATTCCCTCAGTCACAGATGTTGTCATGCATTTCAATAAGCAAGCATGATTCATGAAGCACAAAGTGAAGCAGAACTTCCCGTAGCACGTGAGTTATTTTATTTTTAAAAGCGTGTCTTGTTCCTTCAGAGCTTTGTCTTAGTTCTGCACTCATACGGATGGGGCTGAGCTGTGTGAGTAAGTGAAACAAGGGGCTGATTTTTGGAAGATGTGGTTGGCTGATACACTGCATCTGAATGGCTGCTACGTGGGGTAAAGGTACCCAGCCATCCCTGCTGCCTCGGTCCAGTGCTGCGCTGAGAAAAGCTTGTGCTGCAGTGAGCGCTGTGGCATGGGGAGATGTTTTAAGCAGTGCAGTCCTGATATTAATTCTTAGTTTTCATCAATGCTGCCGCTCTTGTAACGTGGGCTTAGCAGAGATGTCTTATCATTGGCAATCAGCAGTCAGGAACAATTGAGAACCAAACTTACTGTGGGAGCTTGGGAAAGCTGGAGGATCAACGTTCATCATCTCCAAGAATGCCCTGAGAAATGATCAGTGTTTTGTTGGGAAGCAAAGTGCACTCTTAAGCCTGAATTCTGTGTCGTTCTGCTGAGTGAGTTTGAGAATTGGATCTACCAAGGAGCAGGTGGATTCCTGAAGGAAGGATTCAATCTTGTGTCATAAACGTTGGCTAGAAGTCTCAAAATGGAAGGAAAAGTAATTCTTCATCTGGAGAGATTGCTGCGTCAAGTGACCAAACGGGACCAGTGCTGTGAACAGGAAGAGGATTCATTTTTTTTAATTAAAAAAAAAAGACATTTGTCAGTAAACAAATGATAACAGTGAGTTAACGAGCATATGCTGGGGGTGGGAATGGAAGCAGAGCTGTTTAATGAAGAGTATGAGGATGCCTACATGCTTGAGAGTGCAGAAACAGAAGGACTGGTTCCCAGAGGCTGTGCATTACCATTGTGGTGGGGCTTAAATGCAGTAGTCTCAGGTTCACAAGTACAAAGGCTCAGGTAAACTAGGCAATATTTTGGGTGATCGGTGCATGAAGAACAGTGCTTTCTGTCTGAGTTGTAATTTGAATCCTAAAATGACTCTTCCGTGTAATCACACAGATCAGTTGTGTCAACAGAGCAGGTGAGTTGGTGGATCCGCAGCAGCAAACAGGCTTTGCTTAATGCCTGGACCTGTACAAAGCAAGAGGAGCTGCTTTGGTCAGTTCTGCTTGCACAGAAGAGCAGCACAGGTTGATGGATGGGCACCTCCTCCTGAACCCCAAGGAGGCCCTGCTGCTTCCACACAGCTCCAGTTTCACCTTGTGCTGATCAGACACTGCATGAAACAACTCAAAGCCATCAAGTGCAGGAAGGTCAATCTTAGTATGCCCAGGAGCATCCATTGTGTCAGAGTTCTGTTTTGTTTTGAAATACATCTCAAACTGCAGAAAGGGGGCTGGAAAAGGCATCCTCCACCTAAAGAGAGGGATGCAGATTTTTTCCTTTTGTGTTTTTGGGCTGTTTGTTTGTTTTTTTCCCAGTTTTGGCTGGCACACAGCGGGAAGGCAAGAGATGCTGCCTGAAGGTCTCCTGGAGGTGGAGTTGGCAGATACAATGGAAGGGAGCCCGAATGAACTTAGTGCTGCAGACATACTTAGGGCTCATTGATCCAGCCTGTTTCCTTCAGGTGTCTCTCAGCTGTGGCAGTGACCTTGTGCTGTAGGTCTGAAAGGGCCACTGTTGGGCTCAGCTCTGCTGGATTTGCCAGATGTTGTGGTTGGCTGCAGTGCCCTGGTGGAGAAGGCAGTGGTACGTGGGATGATTCAGGCACTGAGAGTGAGCAAGCAGAAGATGCTCGTGTAAGTTTGGATGCCTGTCTTTGGTAAAGGATACTTTCTCCTATCTGTTCACTTTCCTATTGCATTGCAGCCTTAGCTCCCTCCTATTTCCCTGTTTATCACGATGTTCCAGTTAACTTTCATTCTCCCAGAACAGTTTCCCTCCATATTTAATGCTTAGAAACTTATCCAGGAGCTCCTTTCAATCATTGTTAATCACACACGTGTTGTCAGTAGCAAGTGTCATCTTCTGAGTTGTAACCCCACAACATCTATGGTTGTTCTACTTCCTCTTTTTGCAGTTCACACCAGCCAAGGAGAGCAGCATTCCTCAAACTCTTCCTTCTTAAGCGCTGCAGCTCCTGACTCTAAACTCTTATGTACCTCTATGTGTCAATGAGTGCTTGTCAAGACAGAGCTCTTGCATTCAGTGTGGCTGCATGGGGCATCACTGGGACTGCACGTAGCAGCCGGCCCTTCTGTTGTCTGTGGTAGAGCTCTTGGTTTTATGGGTTGAGGAGATGCTTCAGGTTCAAAAAAAAGAAAAATTGTCAGCTGCGTATTTCTCCAAAATCTTCTTTTACATGCTTTATCATTTAAAGAGAAAATAGTTGCTGCTCTCCAACTTGCAGAATGTTTTGTACTTGGAATTGATTTTATGTTCACTTGTATTGTGCTCTGATATTTGAACCGAGCGCATCTGGGTCGACCAAGTCTTACTGAAGAAGCAGTATGGAAACTGTATTTCCTAGTGTGACATTAATTAGGAGTGAGGGTCAAAAATGTGATTTTTTTACTGCTGCCATGGCAGTGTCATTTGGTACAGTTCAGTGATACAGCAGCTTGTAGAAAACAGCAACGTTGGACTTTGTGGGACACGAATCAGAAGAACCCAAGCTTTGTGTGCTCAGCTGGAGCTGGGATCTGTTTGATTCAGCAAGCTTCCCAGTTTACAGTGTAGTCTGGCAGGGCACCTTTAGGCTGTTGGGAATGGAACTCATTTCTTACTGGGGGTGGAGGTGCACCAAATCCTTGTTCAAAGAGCTGTCTTCAGTTGTTAATGGCTTCTACAAGAAGAAATCGTGTAAGGGTAAAAGGGAGAGATTAATGGAACCAAATGTTGCTTCATTCACATTGCTTCACCTCATTCATTGTTCTGCAGAGAGGTGTTGCCTGCTCGCTTTCCTGTTGTTTTAACTGTGGATTATTCTTAGCACCAGCAACTCGATCCACTCTTTTCTTTTTCCAGCATTGCCATGGCAACGAAAGAAAATATGACTTCGCAGAGAGGGATGTTGAAGTCAATACAGAGCAAGATGAATACCTTGGCTAGTATCCTTCCTTAAGAAAACTGTGCTGCCAGTGCTTAGGAAAGAGGCACAGTAACTTCTTTTCAGGATGCCATTGATTCGGGGATCAAAATGCTTTGGGATGCCAACAGCTGCATAACTACGGTGTCTTGTTGGGTTGTGGTTGTTTTTTTAATCTAACTGGCAGATGTGATGAGCAAATTGGTTTTATTCAACTCTGAACCCTGCCTATAGACCCATGTCTACATTTTTCACGTAGAGACCTATAACAGCATTTGTTACCTTTCCAACTCTGTGTGTTGGTTTTGGCTTTCAAGGTCGGAGCACCTGCTGCTGTTTGGTATCATTTATAGCTCAGTATTCGTCACCTGAGGATCCTTCTGTCTGTCACAGGCTTGCAGATGTTAAGATTTTGGTTTCTTAGCTTAGGATAGATTGACATTAGTATGATTTGACAGTAGGAGGAGTTCTTCATGTGCTGTGCAGGGATTAGTGCATATTCATGCAACGTGCATGCTTCTCTGTCAAATGCCTTTGCTTGTTCCCTTAGCCAGTAACTATTCCATTAAATAAACATCACCAAAATTTCACCCCCATTTAAACATACTCATTAAGAGTAAAAAAGCCTCATAGTGGAGATGACACCAAGCACTGGTAATTTAGGTGATCAACTACTGAGTTCTGTGTACATGTGAACTCTAACCTGTTCCATTCACTCTCCTCTGATTATTAGATCACAGTTTCTCTGCCTCGTTAGCAAAGTACAGTTGTAATCCTGCTCATCTTGTTGGTTTTCTGATTGCATCTTCTTTCTCCAGCTTGGGGGTAGTTCTGTACCTCGTGGCATTGCTGACTTGCACGTACAGCATTTGGGGCTGGTTCAATAAGTGGCCGTATTTTTGGTGTGACCTTGACTCACCCTGCTTAAAGACCGGTTCCCAGCAGTGAACAGCCTGATCCAGAGGATCAACCTTCGGAAACGACGGGATTCGTTCATCTTGGGCAGCATCATTGGCATCTGCACCATCCTGCTGCTGCTCTTTGCCTTCCATTGATGGATGTTCCCCCGTGGACTCTGCTAAACTCATCACCACCATCCCTCCCCCCAGCCAAGGAAAAGCGAGCGGGGGAAGAGATGGACTTCCATCAGCCTGCTCCCCCTGCCTGGGACCGTCAGCATGATGTCTAGAGTTGATGATGATGGACTGCAACACTGGTTTGGGGTTGAAGCTGCAGTGTTTCTCCTTCCCTGCCATACATCTTCCTTTGGTTAAATTTGGTGGGATTTTTGTTTTTGTTTTGTTTTTAATTTTTTCCTCCTTTAGCCCCTTTCTCATTGCAAGGTAAGTAAATACAGCCACTTAACAACAGCAGTAGAGCAGCTCCTGTGCCCAGTGGTGCTGGGAGGTGCATTGCTGGCCAGCAGGTGGGAACTGCAGGAACCCTGCTTTGCCTGCAGGCACTTCTGGGCACCGTTGTCCTACCAGAAGAATATTGCAGCTTTAAGCCATCAGGTTGCTTCACTACTAGATACACGTTCTGTAATTCTTTTTAACTCATGGTTGAGGTAATAGTTATTTCTACATCGTTTGTGCTGTGAAAACTGTGCTTCACACAAACTCCTCAAAGAAGACAAGGATTGCTCCATTCGCTTTTTGCACAGAAAATGAATAAACTGCCCTCTGAGGAACAGTGATAAGGTTTCTTGTGGCTTTAAAGGGACGGACAGGTCCTCTTCTGTAAAAAGGGAGCACAGTGCCCTCGCAGCTCCTTACCGTAGTGTTCAGTCATCTGAAAAGTGACCAAACGTGAGTTCACCTAAGAGCAGCCTTTGGGTGTCAGTACTTGGATTTTGGCTGACATCATAGAGGTCTTTATAAAGACAACGACTGAGAAGTGTATATTGTAATTTACATAAAGTTATTCTAATAGCATTAATATTTTTACACTGTAAGTAAGATATAATCTACACTGTCAATTGGAAGTGAAAATGATGATGGTTCTACCTGGGGCAAATGCATCTGAGTGCAGAAGTTTTGGACACACCTCCTCCTGGTGAAGAGTTGAATGTAAAATAGCAAACCGAGTTTTATTTACTGTTATCTGGGGAAGTTCTCCTCATCCAGGCACACAAACCCTGGTGTTTTGCATTGATGACTGGTGGCAGGAAGGGCTTTGATGTTGCAGAACCACAAACGATGGTTTTTTTCTTTCTGCTCTTTCAACTGCTTTTTCTCCATCCGTTGTGTGATAACCCAGCAAATCCCAGCTGAAGCACTGGAATGCCTTAGGAGCTCCATCAGCTCTCTGACAGCATTCCTGAGAGGTTCCACGTGTGCCACGGATGTCAGGTAGCCTCCAGGTTGTCCTCTATGGAACAAAGCCTCGTGGGGCAGTCGCAGTGCTGTAGTGCTTCTCTTGTGTCTGGCTGGGGATGGGGTTTGTGCCTGTGTGGTGTGCAGCCCACGCTGCTGCCCCTGAAACGTTTGTATGGGTTGGAAGGCTTGTTTGCAGGGTAATGACTGTGCTAAAAGGTCTGCAAGGGCTTCTGATCGGCCTTAGAAAGCATTTGGAATTAATACATGTAAATAAATTTGGTTGATCTGGGAATGTTCCTGGTTTGATATGAAGCGTTTATTAAAGGGGTTTATGAAAAACCTTGATGGATAAAGGGAGTTCATTAATGAAGCTGTGTGCTGGGAGATCAGCCCTTATCTCCCCCATCCCACCCCAGGCAGGACCCCAGCTGGCAGCCGTGCGCCTGCTTAGGATCTGTAGGATTTGGCTGCTCTATAGAGGGCACTCAGATCTGCAGTAACAGAAATAAATTCATTTCCTTAATCTGGTAACCCGTCTTTTACTGGACTTAATTGATGATTTGGTGCATATATTTAATCTTATTGTGTGAAAAAGCTGCTATGGAAAGTATGTAATTATAACAAATGTGTCAACAGGATTGATTTTTTTTTTTCATGTTATGAAGATGCTTCAGAGGAACTGATTTATTTCAGTACGAGACAAATATGCTGAATTATCTCTGATAAAGCTTGACTGGAAATGCTGGCTATGGTCCTTCCATGCAGTTCTTCTTAATCTTTAGGAAAATGTGGTGTTAAACAGCTTTTATTCCTGGAATTCCCAGCAGAGTTGTGATGTAGGAACTCGGCCAGGTCCTGCTGGTAACTTCTGGTCCCTCAGGCTGACCCCAGCGCTCGTGTCTGTGCTGTTTCTGATCCTCCTGCTCTGTTTGCTGGAGCGCTGGCTGTGTGTTTGCTCAGCACTGAGCATTGCTGTGGCAGAACTGAGGACGTGGGGGTTTCTGCTGCTGTGGGAAGGCACAGTGGGTGCTTGTGGTCAATGCTGAGCTCATGAGCTTCGGGTATCAGCGTGCTGTAAGCTCCTGCTGGGTTCGTTACACTGATCAAGCAGAGCTGATCAAGCAGAGCCTTACGTAGTTCTGAAAGTTCCCTCTTTCGAAGGTCTTAAGGCTGCTGTGAGAAGAACCAGTTCCTCACAGGGCGCTGAAAATAAAAGAGCAGAAGTGTTTGTACGTGATGTGAAAGTTCCAGCTCTGTGCTGACCCTTCCAGGAGCCACGTGCCCAAAACTGCTCTGCCATTCCCAGCTGACGAACTCCCGTTTGGTTGGGTCCATCGGGCCTCCCCGCATCCAGCAGTTTGCTGAGATCATTCCATGCGTAACTTTTTCTTAGGTTTTTGGGTTTTTTTTCCAAAAACCTTTCATGTGAAGCAGACAGGAGGGGCGACAGGAAGAAATCATTCTGAAACTCCTAAGAGTGCTGGATTACGGCAGCCCTCGGAACGGCGGGCCTATTTGGCAATGCACAGCCAAGGGGAGCACAGCGGGACTGAACTGAGCCCTTTTCTGGGTGACATCAGGAATCCTGGGATCTGTGTGTGCTGGATGCACGAACCCAGTGCTGTGCTCAGCTCTTGGTTGTCCTCTGCGCCCTGCAGAGTGAGGAAAGTGGTTTAAATCAACATTCCCTCAAGACGAAACCACCGTCACCAACAAAACCTTTCAGACAAAACATCCCAGTCCGGACTTCAGTAAGTTCATTTCTGATTGCACTTTCTGATTCTTTTTGCTTTTCACAGAGCTGCTTGAAACTTACTGTATCTGTAATTACTTTTCACCTATTGTGCATTCTCTGGATGTAATTACGGAGCTTTGATATGTAATTTAATAATAAATGAGAACTCTAAGCAGGGTGCTTGGTTCTTTCCCCGGGGCAACTTCTCCCTCCACGGCTCCAGTGAAGATGCAGACATTGCAGAGCTCATCTCTGCAGTTTGGGATTGACCCTAGATGTACACACAGGTTTGCTCTCTGCTTTTGTGCCGCAATGGGCTTCTCTCAAGGTGAGCTCTGTGAAGCTTTGTGATTATCCATAGTTTAAAACACGGATTCCCAAACACGTGCCCAAACTGGGGCCAATGTGCAGCTGACAGACTATAGGAGGTGTTGCTCTTCCTTTTTTTTAATCCACTTCTCTGTGGTTTGGTTCCTTTGCTCCCACCTCACAGCACAACACCAGGTGTGAAGCTGCACTTGGAGCTCAGTGTGAGCAGTGTGGAAACCCACAGACCAGTGCATCTCAACAGCACCCACAGACAAGGCGGCTGTTGGCTGGGAGCTGCCCCTGCGTGGGGGGCCGTGCAGCAATGATGAATCCCTGCATCCCTCGTGTGCCCCCAGGCTGCTGGGGGTGAGCAGTTCTTCCTTCAGGGCAGCTCTGGGTGTTCCTGCATGGAGAGCCGACTCCGGGATCGTTCTGGATGAGCAGAGACTGTTCTGCCTGCAGACGGGAAGCGCCATTCATTTTCCCAGTTGCTGCACTGGTAATAAGTGGTGCATAAAATTCCATCTTCGTTTGGATTAGGAGGTAAATTATTAATGGGGTTGAATCCTTTTTTCCAGCTCCCTGTACAGTCAATAATTTATAGTGGCACAAGCTCCAGATACATTTTTAACCATCCAGCTCCCAGCACACTGCGTGGTGTGTGTGCTCAGCTCCTCCATTTCCTGCTGCCATTCCTTGCTCCTAATGGGACCCTGAGGCTTTGCTAACCCGCTTTTGGTAGCGCTGCTTGTAAAGGAGGAGAGCTCTGGCTGCAGTCAGAGTCCCTCCACCATTTGAAGCAGCATTTGTGGTCCTCTCACTGTTTTCTTCTCCACAACTGCCGCTGAGGTCTGTATGAATCCTCACCCCCTGATGCACAGTGCAGTGTCTGCTCAGCAGTGCTGGAAGGCAGATTGCAACCTCTTAGGGTGCTGTTTCTCACCCTCCTTGCCCACCCCCATCCCATGCAGTGCTCTTGGAAAAAGAATCGGAATTCTTCAGCTTGCATCTTGCTGAAGATGCACCGGGAGGAGCTGGTGGCCTCTTGCTGCACATTGCAGACCCCGCAGGTCCCATTTTGCTGCTGTTTGTGCAGTGGAAACTTCCTTCCAGCACTGCCCAGGCACCTGAGCTGCTCCCCAACCCCGTGCTGAGCTGGCTGTGTTGATGCCATGCTGCTGAGCCGTCACATTCGTACGGCCGCCTGCGCTCGGAGCTCTGCAGGAACAGCGCAGGTGGAAAAAAAGGAACTGCGAGGAGCCCCAAAAAAGGGCTGAGCGGCGACAGCACGAAAATTAATTCCATTCCAACTGTGCAGCATCAGGCCGTGTCATCAGCGCAGGTGTGAGGTGGGGCGGTGCGTCCCCGTGCTCCGGTGGCACAGCACTGGGACGCGGGCGGTTTCCCTCTGTGCTATAAGAGGAGTTCCCTCTGGGTCAGGCGTGTGTCACCAGAGCTAAATTTACCCACAGCCATCACTGAGGTGCAGCCATGAGTCAGTCCATGACAACCTTATGTCAAGGGGTGGAGGGGGATGCCAGCCCCCAGCGATGCCTGTCCCAAATCAGCGTTCAGCCCGTGGTGCACCTGAAGCAGGGCAAAGGGACAGCGGGATGCTATTCCTGGGTTTCCCCATGTTTGGGGGAATTTGAAGACTTTCCAACCTCCGTTCTGGCTTGGAAATGTAAAAAGGGAAAACAAAGCTCACATTTGGGGGATGAATGAGTTCATCTGTTCTCATCCAGGAATACTTCAGCTCTTCATTGCTGTGGGAGGAGGGGGAGGAATGGGAAGGAGGGATGCTGCCGCGTGGGTTTGGGTGTTCAGAGCTGGGACGGGTATAACAAATGGGCTCTGAGGAATGGCACCTGAGACCAAATAATGGGAGAAATTCCTTAGGACCCACAGGCTGTAGCCAGCCACCCCTACAAGCTCGGCAGCAGGAGGTGTTTTGCTGGGAAGGCTCTGTTCCCCCCTCTGTTGCAGCTTCGTAAGGTAAGGAGTCCTTCGGTAGCTCCAACCGCCCTGCAGAGTGGAGGCAATGAGGGCTACTGGTCGTCACATCTCTGTGCTCAGCTCAGGGAGAATCCCCACAGCTCTATTTTAGGAAACCTGGAGATTCGACAGCAGCCAGCAGAAGGAAAGGGCTGAGTGTGGAGTTATGGGGGCCAGAGCAAATCCCGACGTCTCCCTGTGTTCCACTGGGAGCTCCCATGGGAAGCGGCTGGGGAAGTGCTGACCGACTTTGTGACCTTCACCCGAACCCCCAAATATCACACAAACTTATTAGAGGTGAATGGAGAGCCTTTGGTGCTCAGCAAGAACCATATCCACAAGGAAATGGGATGTAAACCTTTCGCTGTTCCTTCTCCTATCTATTATACATGAGCCATCAGAGCAGAGTATTAATAAAACAGGAGCGAAAGCACTTGGCACTGCCCTCCCCTTAGCAAAACAGCAGAGCAGAGGCCATCAGCTCCCACCTCTGAGGTCTGGAGCTCCATCTGCCCACTGCGCCTGGCACAGGGAGCACTCTGTGCTGTGGGTGATAGGATTCACACTGGGGAAATTCTGGACGTGGCAAAGAAACAGGGTTCAAAATGTCTTAGCATGGTGCAGAGCCCAGTGGGAGATGGTGTTGTGATAAAGGGGAAGGGCATGGAGAAGGCTGGTCTGGTCTGAGTGCTGCCTGAGTGTTCATGTGGGTGATGGGTCCCCAAACCACAACTGTAGCTTTTGTCTTTTGAGAAAGAAAAGGAGGTTTTGGTCATACCCCTGCCTACCGACAGCCCAAAGCTTTGTCGGGCTCCTTCCTTCAGCCACCATTTGGGAGAGGAATGAGGAGATGGAGGAGGCTGCTCAGGGCGGTTGCCATTCAGGAGATCTGTGGTTTTGATCAATAATTTGAGGATTTGGGTTTGGAATGTGTCTGCGCTCCCTCCTCATTGGCTGTGCGGAATGCAGAGCTGCAGAGGTGAGGTCTGGTGGCAGTGCCACCACAGCCAAAATGCTGCATTGCTTTTGGAATGGGGAGCAATAATTAAATGAGCAGTTTGAATTTGATATATTGTTCTCATTTAGACAGAAGAAGCAAGTCTGGCTTTGACCATGCATGTTACATTTTAATTCTTTTCTCATGCCAAGAAATACAAAGGAAGTATATAAGGTACACCATATCATCCCGCAGAAAAAGAAACGTCGACCAGCAAGGAGATTCCTGGAGTGTCCATGGCATCGCTGAGCGCTCCTCCAGCTGGGCTCTGAGGATTGGGGCTGTACCCTGGGACACCCCTTGCTTTGAAAAGGCTGATCCCCTCCCTCCCACCCTCCCTCCCTCACCCCCTGGGCTTATCCCCAAGCATGGGAGATTTTAGCTTTGCCAAAATGAAAGAGTGCAAGCGGAAAGAAAATAATTGGCATTCAATCTGCAATCAGTTCATGTTGGGCAGCGATGAGAGGCCAAGTGCTGGGATGGGGCTGGGGGCACCGGGGACGGGAGCAGCTCATAGGGGTGGCTCAGCCCCATCCTGGGCTTGGACCGAACAGGAGTGGGGTTGGTGTTTAATTGGCAGCAACTGGAAAGGAGGGAAATAATGATTAGAAAAAGGGAAATCATCACTAATGCAGCAAACTGGGAAAGCTCTTCTGTCGTTTTCTTCCCTTTGTGCTAAAACCCTCGTGGTCCTCTCCACCAGCAGTCATCAGTTGGACACTGAGTGCTGTGCATCCCTTCTGCCCTACGGTCACTGCATCCCACAAAGAGCCTGGCTGAAACCACAGTGCTGCAGAGATCAGCTCCTGCAGAGTCCTGTGTGCAGGATCGGGCTGCAGAACGCACCGGGAGCTCAATGGAGAGTGGGGAAAGGGTCTGGTAGGTCCAGGGAGCCTTCTGGTACAGCACAGGAGGTGGGTTGCAAGGAAGGAAAACATTTCGTCTGGCTGTAGAGATGTTCCACTGTGTCTGAGCGTGGGATGAGGAGCACAGAGATGAATGGAAGAGTGCAGGGCAGCGCAGTTGTATCTAGCCAGAAAGGAGATGAAAAAAGAGGAAGGAGTTGAGGGGTCTTTGTGTTTTATGGTTTTGGGTTTTTTTTTTATTGGAAAGTTGCTGCTCTCTCCTGCACTCAGATGCTTCTGGTGCCTCTGCTGCCCCTCCGGTCCTGCTCTGTATATCCTCGAGGTGGTCCTGGCTTGCAAAGAGCCCTCCGGAAGCATCAGATTCAAAGGACGGATGCATTCCCTCCTACTTATGTTGAGGAGAAAGAACTGTTTTCTTTTCTGAGCTGCTGGCACACGTGACTTGGAGCAACTTTGCCATCTGTGCGATGAGAATAGCGCAGCCCTCGCCGCGGGACTGCAGCCGTGGCAAAGCACTTCAGGCCGTGAGCTGGAAGGCTTTGTGTAATGCCAGGGCAGCGTTCCATCCTCCATTTGGTGCTCTCAAGTGCTGCAGTTTCCCCTCATGCTGACCCATCTCATCCTCGGGGATCCCCCCTCCAAGAGGGACAGGGGATCAGGTGTCAGTGGGCTCTGCACACGGCCAAGCACAGAGCTTCTCCAGCCCTGAGTGTGCAAGGAATGAGTTGCAAACGCAGGAGTTGAATTTGGTCCGTTTTCAGAAGCTCACAGTTTGCAATAAACCCAGGGACGGGTGGGGAGGCAGCCCAGGAAAGTGCTGTTGTACCGTGCTATTGCTCTGAGTCCCTGCACCCCTTTTGAATGTAAAGAAAAACATAACAGTGGGTGCAGGAATTTGGCTCTCCTATCCCCTGGGTTCAGATTACCTCTACCCAAAGGAAACCGTGTAACAAAGAGCAGCTAAACAAGTGACAAGAGAACAATCCCATCTACATCCCTATGGTT